TCTCAGCTCACCTGTCACTTTCCAACCCTCCCAATCTTAAATTGCCCCCTCTCCCAGGTTACCATGTTAATTGCTTTCAGGAGTACTTTGAACAACCTTAAAATGTTTATTTGTTGACTTACATAAAGTCTTTCTTATGGTTACAATGTACGTCCCATGAGAACAGGGAGCTTGCCCATATTTTTTGCCACTGTATTTAATGCCTAGCACAACATCTGCCCAGAGGCTAAGCTAAGTTAATGTGTGTTGAAAAAATTAAACGAAGAAATGAAGCAACCTACTGGGTGAAGTCTCTCCCCTTCTCTCAATCCTCCTGCAAATCTCCATTATAATCAGTAGAGGGCAGCAAAGATCCTGCGTTACCTAACTCCCGGGAGTTATGCCCGAAAACTTAGTCCCTTTTTCGAAACAGCAGGTTCAAGGTTATCAAAAAATTCAAGGAAGTAGCCAGCCATACAAACTCGATCTCTCCTTGTGCCTGAAGTCTTCTCCGCCCCGAACCATTTACAGATTCTTTTTTTTTAATTTTTAAAAAACGTTTTAAGATTTCAGGCTCACAATGCGCCTCACAAAATAAAAACAGATGTTATATATTCTAAGCCAAAAAGAACCCCAATGGCCTGGAGCCTGTACGTCCCTGCCTGACAAGTTAGTGTAGAAAAAAAGACAGTCACAGACAGCAGCTGCTTGGGACTTAAGGATTTACGGCTCTCCCTTATGGTGTGTGGGGTGAGCAGGCACCAGCTGGGCAGCTGTTTGTGTTTTCAGAACTTGCAAGAACAAGTTGTGTCTGTCGATAGTTGTGCCTTCTGCTTGTCTCTGTCCCTGCTTATTCCATCATCTCTTTTTGTTTAAGAGTTCCCTCGCCCAGGGCAGAACTTCCACAGCATCTGCCTTTGTGGGCTCCTGCCCCGAAAATGCACACCGACCCGGGGTGACCCGCAGCGCAATCGGCATCCTCACACTCACAGAGCAACGTTTACATTCACCCTCTGCTCTGCAGGTAGGTTTACTGAGTCTTATGACCTACCTGGCCTGGGTCGGTGCTCTGTGGGTAAAGATGATCCATTTGACTGAAAGAACTGTTACTAGAATCAAAAGACAGATAAGACTGCTCAGTTTTAGCTGACATTTTGTACTAAAAAATTCTTTGTTGTGGGGGTATTCTAAGATGTTTGGCAACATCCTTGGTTTCTACTAAGAAGCAGGTAGCATCCCTTCCTTAAATTGGGGTAACCAAAAATGTTTTTAGGCATTGCTAAATGACCCCTGGGGAGGATCTAATTCCCACCCCCCCATCTTGAAGGCCACCATTTTAACAATCATGGTGGATACCTTTAGCAGTATCCTTCCAGCCTTGAGTCCGTGACTCCTTTCTCCTCTCCCACGCTTGCCTTTTGTGACCTGAGGCCCATGGACGTCGTAGATTGGACATCTGACCCAGCTTGGGCCTCTCGGCTTCTTTTTTCTGGGAACTTGAGACGAGGACTGGGGGACTGACTACATGTGTTCTTTGTGGAGCCAAAACTTGGATGCAAATTTAGGAGGTGTGGGCAGATGAATGGCAACAGGGGGGATGAGGAAGCAGTGACATCCTACTGCAAAGATAAGAATGAAATAGACTATAGAGAAACACAGAGAGCGAGCCAGAGACAGGTCACCTAGTTCTAGCACTTTCTAGTTCTAGCACTTCCTAAGGACAGGCTAAACTTCCTGCCTCATGTAGTTTAGGGCGTTCCTGTACATTTATAACTAATTCTGTTTTTTGTGCTAAAACATTTTCCCCCCCCTGTTATTGGCAAGTGCTTTCTAACTGGTACGTTCTCCATGGCCTGGAACTGAAAGTACAACCAGAAAATATCAGGGATCCAGGCAGCTGAGGGAGCAATTTCTAACCCTCAAGGCAGCTCCACCTACCTGGGCACATGGGTGCCATTCTCCTTTCTCACCCAAGGGCTTTCCTGCCTTCTCTGCAGAGGTTTTCTTCTCTTAGCCTCAGCTTGTGCCTGGCTGGCATGCCACGGCCTCAACCCTTCTTGTTGCTCATTTAGCATCAGCTTGCCTGCTAACAACAAGCCCAGGCCGGGTTTCTTGGCTCAGATTTCTGAGCAAGCGAGTCTCATTGGCTCACATGGCAAACACTGTTGGCTGCCTCAACGAACAGCCATCCATCCTGATCAGTTTTGTTCAGGTGAACAACCCCGCGTGGTGGACCGGACTTGGTTTGTAAGGTCAGTGAGATGTAAAAGGAATCTTCAGGAGGTGGTGGGTGGGGGGACAGATGCTTACGGGAAAGAGTTTAATACATTTATTCTAGATACAAGAAGGCAAAGTCTGAGGAGAAGCTAGCCGACCCCACTCCTGCCTGCTTTGGATCTGTCACGTGAGGACAGGATAGATGGAGCCGTGGTAGCCGTTTTGCAGCCATGACGTCAAGCCCAGAAACCAGACCAAAAAAAGAAAAATGACAGAAGAGGGTTACAACGTCCTGGAACTGACGAATTAACCAACCCTGGAGCCATTCACCTTTAGACTTCTTGTTACATGAGATAATTAGGTGTCCTTACAGTTTAGGCTCCTTTGACTCAGGTATCCTGTTACTTGAAGCCAAAAGGATCCTGACCGACACAGTATAGCTCATCTGCTCTGGCTGGGTCACCCAGCTCCTAGGTCACTGGCTTGGCTACCTGGCAGATTGATTGCCTTGGAGTCACGCACCTACCTGCCGTCCATGTGTTCGTTCCCCTCCCCTGACCTTGTATTATGACATATTTTAAACCTATAGGGAAGTTGAGGAAATAATACCAAGAACACTCAAATGTCCTTCAGCTAGATTCACCACTTGATAACATTCAGTTACCTATGTAACTAATAAACATTTAGTTACATGTTCTTTGTATGTGTTTCCATATATATGGGAGTACCTTTGACCGAATTATTTGAAAATAAATAAGAGATTTTACGAAGGTTCACCCCAAAGTACTTCAGCATTTATCTCTTGAGAAGAAAGGTCATTCTACTCGTAGATACAGAAAGCACATTGGTGGTCACCGGATGGGCGATGGATTGGGGAGGGTGGGAGAAAATGGTGAAAGGGATTAGGAGTACAAATTGCTAGTTACTAAAATAGTTCCCAGGATGTAAAGTACAGCATGGGAAATATAGTTAATAACATTGTAATAACTATGTCTGGTGTCAGATGGGATCACACATACAAGCTCAAGGTATGTAGATGACTAAGTACTACGTTGTACACCTAAAACTAATATTGTATTTCAACTACAATAAAAATTCATTAATTTTTAAAAAACTGAATTAACCTAGATTTCTTGAAAGAAATAAAGTAGAACATTCTCTCATATAACCAAATTGTCATTATAATAGGTTTAATTATATTATTATATAATATAAAAATCTGATTAAATTTATTTAATTTTCCCAGTAATGTCCTTTTGAGCTTTTCTTTTTTTTTTTGGGTGGGGGGGGGCTTGTTTTGACTTATTTGTGTCTTTGTTTTTGTTTTTGTCCAGGAGTCTTCAATAACCACGTGCTGTTTGAATGGTCACATCTCTACAGTCTCCTTTATTCTGAAACAGGTTCTTTTTGGGTCTTTCCTGTCATTGACTTTCAGGTCATTCTTTTCTAGGATGCCCCACAATTTGGATTTTCTGGGCTTTTTTTTTCAGAATGAGATTTAGTTGTAGATTTGTAGCAAAATCTCTACAGAGGTGATGTTGGGCCTTCCTCGGTGCATGACAAGGGCCGCATGGCACCCTCAGGGGTCCTGGAATTGGCCGTGCTGAGTCCAGTCAGCTGATTGAGGTGCTGTCTGCTAGGACTCTGCATTGGGAAGGCATTTATTTCCTGTCTATAATTAAGAGGTAATCTCTGGGATGTACTTACTAATTATAGGTACTGGGAATACGACAATAACTTGTTCCCCAACTTTTATTCAGTGTTTTGGTATCCATTAATAAACCTTGCCTGAATCAACTATTATTATTAGCGACTACACAAGTCACAATTTTCTGATTCTATCATGTCTTCTGTATTTATTAATTGGCACTCTGCTTTTTTAAGAAAAGGAGTTTTCTTCTTCTTCATGCTCACTTTTAAAATTTTCTCGAGTATCATTGTGACCTCAGATTATTCGTTACCACCAATTTTCTTTTTGATTTTCAATTTGTCTCAAATCTGGCCCCTTCCACCCGGTCTCTGGGTCCTGCCGACACAGTCCCATGAGTTTGCGAGCACCCATCTTCTCTCTCGCAGAGGAGTTCCTAAGCTCATCGTGTACTTTCCTTGACCCAGCCCTGGAATCAGCTGTTTCTCCAAGACTTGGTTCCTTTTAGGGGGAACCGGTTCTTAGAAACCAAGAACCGGGTGGTAGAAGTGCTCATTGTTAGTGGAGCTGTATTGCTTCTAGGCCCTTTCAGTGGACAGATGCAAGAAACCTGTTTTATTTTGATCCCCTGACTCCAATCCAACACCACAGGGTTCTTCCTCTTTTCTCCTCAGTCCACCATTTTTATCTCCTTCCTTCCGCAGTGAGAACCCTGGTTTTCACCAACATAAATAGCCTCATTTGCTCCTCCTCACAATACATCCAATAGTATCAGAACGACTACACCAGTACCACTATCAACACAAACCTACTAATAAAGTTCAAGACTGCAGCTTTTTCTCATCCTTAGAATATAGCCCACGAAAGGTAAAGGTCTGCTATTTAAAAACCTTTATACCTTGAAGTAGTTTCATTTGTCCCTCTTTGTATTCAATTTTAGGGTTTTCCTGTTCTTGTTGATTTAATTTTTTTTCTTTGTGGCAGCAGGCTTTTTAGCAAGTATTTTTCCAGTGTTATTGAGATATAATTGACATATAGCATGGTATAAGTTTAAGGTGTGCAGCATAATGATTTTATATATGTGTGTGTGTATCTATTTTTTATATAAATAAATAAATAAATGTTTACCACAATAAGGTTAATTAATATCCAGCACAAAAACCTGGGACGCTTAATAAATGTGGGCGTCATCTTTTTGCAGGAGCCACGCTGGTCTTCTCTACATCATCCCAATATTAGTACACGTCCTGCCGAAGTGAGCACTGATTGAATTTTTTGAAAGTGTAAAACTGCTATTTAAAAGTCAAAACAATATGGAAAGGTAACAGAAAAATTTCCTTCAGCCCTTGTACATAACCACTTTTATTAGTTTCTGGTTTATCCTTTCTTATTTGCAAAAATTAACAAATATACACACATGTGCCATGCACACATATAGCCTTATCTTGCCGCCTTTGTTTATCCAAGTGGTAGTATACTATGTATGCTCCTATTATTCAATGTTTTAGGATCCAGCTTAACCATGTTAGATTATTTAGTATCCAAGTAATCTTACACGTGCAAGTCATTTTATTTTTTACTTCACGAAAGATGTTTTTATGCAAATTAAAAAATGACATATGGCACATGACACAAACACACCCAAATCATGCCCCACCTTCCTGTGCCTTCTGTCCCCTCATCCTGGTCTCTAGTTCTTTTTAAATATATTTCATTGATTATGCTATTACAGTTGTCCCAATTTTTCCCCCTTTGCTCCTTTCCATCTTGTACCCCCATTTCCTCTAGCAGTCCCCTCCCTTAATTCACGTCCATGGGTCGTGCATATAAGTTCTTTGGCTACTCCATTTCCTATACTGTTCATAACATCCTCTGTCTATTTTGTTCCTGCCAATGTGTACGTCTTAATCCCTGCACCTTTTCCCCCATTCTCCCTCTTTCCCTTCCCAGATGATAACCCTCCAAATGATCTCCATACCTATGATTCTGCTCCTGTTCCAGTAGTTTGCTTAATTTGTTTTTTAGATTCAGTTGTTGATAGTTGTGCATTTGGTGCCATTTTAATGTTTGTAGTTTCGGTCTTCTTTTTCTTGTATCGTTCCCTTTAACATTTCATATAATAAGGGCTTGGTGATGATGAATCCTTTCGTTTTACCCTGTCTGGGAAGCACTTTATCTCCCCTTCCATTCTAAATGATAGTTTTGCTGGACAGAGTAACCTTGGATGTAGGTCCTTGCCTTTCATCACATTGAATCCTTCTTCCCAGTCCCTTCTAGCCTGCAAAGTATCTTTTGAGAAATCAGCTGACAGTCTTATGGGGACTTCTTTGTCGGTAACTCTCTACTTTTCTCTTACTTACTGCTTTTAAGATTCTCCTTTTATCTTTAAACTTTGGCATTTTAATTATGATGTGTCTTGGTGTGGTCCTCTTTGGGTCCAACTTCTTTGGGACTTTCTGTGCTACCTGGACTTGTGTATCTATTTCCTTCACCAAATTGAGGGAATTGTCTCTCATTTTTTCAATTAAGTTTTCAATTTCTTTCTCTTCCTCTTCTCCTTCTGGTATCCCTATGATTCGGCTGTTGGTACATTTGGAGATGGCCCAGAGGCTCCTTATCCTGTTCTCATTTTTTTAAATTCTTTTTTCTTCTTGCTGCTCTGGTTGAATGCTTTTTTCTTCCTTATGTTCCAGATTGTTGATTTGAATCTTGGCTTTATCCCCTGCACTGTTGGTTCCCTGCAGATTTTTCTTTATTTCACTTAATGCAGCTTTCACTTCTGCCTGGGTCTTTTTTATGTTGTTGCAGTACCAAGTGATTTCTTTGATAACCAGTGTTTTGAACTCTGCATCTGATAGGTTGCTTATCTCTGTTTCCTTTAGTTCTTTTTCTGGGTTTTTTTCCCGTTCTTTCATTTGTGACGTATTTCTTTGTCTCCTCAATTTGGCAGCCCCTCTGTGTTTGTTTCTGTGTGTTAGGCAGAGCTGTTTTGATTCCCTGTCTTAGTTGCATGGCCTGTTGTAGAAAAGGCACCAGCAAGTTGTGTGGGGATGGAGCCTTAGGTAGTTGCCAGGGCGGGGCAACCTGTTTTGCTGCTTTGTGGCTCTATGCAGGGGAGGACTCAGAGAGGAGACAATGCCACTGCCTCTGGAGATTGTCCAAGAGGAAGCTATCTCCTTGGCACTTGCCTCACTAGTCACTTCACTTTCTCCCCTTCTCCCTGTATACCCCTTGTGCCCTTCCAGCTGTTGCCCTGGTGCTGAATCCCAGAAGGGGTGGGTCTGTGTGAATCCTAAGTCTGTTGCAGGCCCTTTAAGAGAAGTCTTTTTAGAATTCCACAGTTTCTTCTACCACCCCAACTCCCACTGGTTTTTGCATCCAGAAGTCATGGGGACTTATCTGCTTAGTGCTGGAGTCCTGGGCTGGGTGGTCTGGTCTGGGCTGGGGTTGCCTTCTCCGGAGGTATCCCTCCCAATTTTTATTCACCACACGTGAATGCGGGACAACCCAGTGCACCACCTCTCCATACCTCTCCATTCTTCCTGCCTGTCTGGATGAACGTGGCTTCTTTAAATCCTTGGTTTTTGGACTTCTGTACAGCTTGGTTTTTCTGATAAATCTGGGTGAAATTTGCTTTGTAGTTTAGTAGTAATTTTTGTTGTAGCTGTGCGTGGAGGCGAAGTGTGTTTACCTACACCTCCATCTTGGCCAGAAGTCCACAAGTCTTTTATAGCACTAGTTTTTTACTATCTGACCTATTTTATTTGCTCTCTCAACTATATTTGGTATTTAGGAAGGTTTTATTTGGGTGGTTATTTTATCCTAATGCTTATATACCAATGACCTTAGTCCCCTCTCATCTTATATTTGATATTTTCTATTGGTTCCCCAACAATATTGAAATAGTTAATTATTGCATCTTTCCTCTCTCCTCCTTATCCACCAGCATCTCATTTGAATAAATATCCTTTTACCCCACCAGTAACTATAAAATAATCAGCAGGTATATTTTATTTTTTTATCTCTCTTACCATTCCTTCTTATTAATTATTGTATAATATTAAGTTTGCCTGAACATTTATTCTTCTTATAACCACTATAGTTAGTTTTCTGGTTAAACATATTTGATGCTCACTACCCATCCCCAGGCCAACATCTTTCCATTCTGGTTGTCTAAAAAAGACATTCTCTAGCAAATTCCTCAGGAAGGGCCCCTGGGAGCAATATTCTTTGGTTCTTTCATGTTCATAATTTGCGGGTTTGTTGGCTACATGTAAAGTCCTTGGTTTGTGTTTTCTTTCCTTGAATCTCCCCAATATGTTGCTCTACTTCTTCTGGAATAAAGTCCAAAGGCAATCTTATTTCCTTTCCCATTTAGATGACTCGATATTTTGACTACATACCTAAGTGATTTCTTCTTTTTCTTTTTTGTAAAGTCTAGAAATTTCTTTTAGAATATATATGGACATCGATTATTCCAGATTGACTTTCCCAGGTACTAGTGTCAAATCTCTTTATTACCAGAAAGTTTTCTTAAATGCTAGCTTTTTAAATTTAAATTACTTTTAAAGTTTCCATTGCTTTTTATTTTCTTCTTTGTGGGTCTATTTTTATATATATGTATATATGGCATATAATATAGTATATAATTGCATTATAAAATTATAGTATATAATCTATAAGTATTTTAATTTTGTTATACAAATATATATTTATTATACTATACTATTATACATAATTGTATTATAATTTATCATTATGCATTATAATTTATAATTACATAGCATAAAATATATACTGTAATATATAACTTTCAACATAATGGTAATATACACTATAATTGATCAATCAATTTTATCTATAATTAATTCTTTTTAGGTATAAAGTTAAATGAGTTTTGACAAAAATGTATAGACAATGAAGATATAGAATATCTTGGGACAACTATAATAGAACAACAATAAAATATTTAATAAAAAAGATATAGAATATTTCCATCACCCCAGAAAGATCCCTTGTGCCACTCTACAGTTATTTCCCTCCTTTAACTCCAGCAACCGCTGATCTGACTTCCATCCCTATAGCGTTCCCTTTTAGTGAATGTCGTATAAACGGAATCATAGAATGTGTAACTTTTGGAGCCAGGCTTCTTTCACTCATTCTTGTGAGCTCCTTGTGATTCAGACATCTTGTTGCACGTATCAGTAATCTGTTGCTTTTTATGGCTGAGTTGTATTCCATGTAGCACAATGAAAAGGTAAATGAATTAAATGATCAGGTACCGACTGCTGACACAGAGCAGCCATTAACCTGGACATCCACAGTGGTGGCAAATGCCGCTCAGGCCACCAGAAACGCTTCTCCGCATCTCTTGCCCTCTGTCCTGGAAACAAAGGGTGACTCTCCAAATGTGATAAAGAACGCTGGATGTCCGGCTGCCAGCACCATGGAAGGACACTGCCTCGGAGTGAGAGGAGAATTGGAGCTGTGGGAGCATTTGGGTAAGAGAAAAGACAAATTAATTAACTTGTCAAATCCGTCCTCTCAGATGTCAAGAATGCTATAGATTCTTGCATAATAAAGTATCATTTCCCAGGAGTGCTGAGCATCTATTTTCTTGCTTCCTTTGAGTTCCAGTCTGTGGACCTACAAGTATTCACAGAGTACTGCAGTATCTGCAATGGTTACACACTGCAGTCGAAGGAAATTTTGCAATATTAAACAATATTATTTTTTAATTTTTGTCATACATGGTCTAGACATAGCATGCTTGAAACATGAAGCATAATACCAATTATTTTTTGCATTAGCAATAAATGAACACTGAATGCAATAACTGCAAACAATTTGTTTATAAAGCTATTTTATGAGGTATAACTTACATTTAAAAACTAACTCAGCTTTATTTGAATATATTTGTTTCGATTTTAATGTTAATTATTATTTCTATTTTTCTCTTTAATAGATACTTTCAACTATTTTAGGATAAAAATAACTTTTTGAGACCATATAGGAAAAATAATTTGAATTTTTCAATATTTTTAACATTTATTTTAATTGCATATTTAATAAAGTATATGCAAACTTGGAACCTTTGGGATATGGTTACGTTTTATCATTTAATTGTAAAGATCATTGTGAATGAGAACAAGTTGAGATTGGAATAGGACCACAAAATATTACCATGTTTTGCCATGTATAATGCACATTGTCCAAATTTTTAAGGGAAAAATTTGGATGTGCACTACACATGGGTAGTACTA